AGTGCCGGCATCCCATATGAGCGCCGGATTCTAGTCTTGGCTGCTCTTCTACCAGTCCAGCTCTCTGCTGTGCCCTGGGAGGGCAGTGGAGGATGCCCCAAGTGCTTGGGCTCCTGCACCCACATGGGAGACCAGGAGAAGCACCTGGCTCCTGGCTTCGGATCAGCGCAGCGCTGGCATATAGCAGCCATTTTGGGGAGTGAACCAACAGAAGGAAGACCTTTCTCTCTGTCTCTCTCTCTCACTGTCTATAACTCTACCTGTCAAATAAAAAAAATTAAAAAAAGCAATTGTCACAAACTAGGAATAAGACAAACTTAATATATATTTACTATATGACCAACAGTTGCATTTCTGGGTATGTATTCTGGAGAATGAAAACTTAGATTTAATCAAAAACATGTATAGGAATTTTCACAATAGCTTTATTTTTTGATATTTAAATGCTTAAGTTTAAAAACTATCTTTATGGCACCAAAGATTCTATGTTAACTACATACTATGTATGTAGAAAAAAGTACATTGCTTTGAAGGGAAGTGTAACAGGGTTTTTGTCACACAAAAGATGAACAGCTATGGTGGGGTTTTTTTTATAAATAAACTTAACTTTTTTAAGAAAAAGATTTATTTATTTATTTGAAAGGCAGAGATACAGAGAGATAAGGAAAGAGACAGAGAGAGGGTGTGAGTGGGAGGGGAGGTACAGTGGGAAGAATCACTATATTCCTAAAGTTGTATTTATGAAAAGCATGAAGTTTGTATTCCTTAAATAAAAGGTTTCTGGGAAAAAGAGAGAGGGAAGGGGAGAGAGAGAGAGAAAGAGAGAGAGAGAGAGATCATCCATCTGCTGGTTCACTCCCCCAAATGGCCACAACCTCTGAAGCCAGGAGCCAGGAGTCTCTTCTGGGTCTCCCATGTGGGTGCAGGGGCCCAGACACTGAGGCCATGTTCTTTTTTTAAAAAGAGTTTTTATTTATTTATTTGAGAGGTAGAGTTACAGACAGAAAGAGGCAGAGAGAAAGGGTCTTCCATCCGATGGTTCACTCCCCAAATGACCGAAACAGCCAGAGCTGGGCCAGGAGCTTCTTCCGGGTCTCTCCCATGAATGCAGGGACCCAAGCACTCGGGCCATCTTCTGCTGCTTTCCCAGGCCATAGCAGAGAGCTGGATGGAAGAGGAGCAGCCCAGACACTGGCACCCATATGGGATGCGGGTACTGCAGGTGGATGCTTAACATTCTAAGCCACAATGCCAGTCCCACAAATGTATATTTTTAATGAAACTAAGAAATTCACATTTGCAGGTAGTTTAACCTTCTACCACTTAAAGATACGGTACACTGTTCTTTTGTAAGAGTTTTATTTCTTCTTATAGACAAAGCTGTGAGAAGCATTGCTTTTCCTACAATGAGATAACACTAACTTTTGAGAGAAAATGACAGACATAGTAAAACCAGATGAAAAATTTAGACAATTTTTAAGGGTGGGGAGATTAAAAAAAAAAAAAAAAAGCTAGTCACCAACAAAGGTTTGTTATTCAAGCACTATTTGAAAGCAAATTAAAGGGAACTTTTCTTTCCGTATTTTCTGGGATAAACCCTGGAAGAAAATCCAAATGGTTCTGTGTGGAGAGCAAAATGCAGCTGTTGGGAGCCACCTGGACGGCGCCGGTGCATACTGTGGACACAGTTGGCGCACAGGAAGCCGGCGGCTGGGTCTCTCTACTGTGAGTAGGGGAAGTCAGAGTGGCGGCTGTCACTACGGCAGAGAAGCAGGGCATACTGCAGCTGAGGTGGGAGCCCTACACCACAAGGCCAGAGCCATGTGAATGCTCAGGTTCACCCCAGCCCCGCCTCCTGGCAGCCTCCCCTCTCTGGGTCTATGTTTCACTGTAGCCCTTGTGCTATGCAGATGACGGGCAGCTGATCTTAAGTGATTCCTAATACTTGCTGGTATGGAAATGATCTGTGAGGCCCTCTTGCCCTCTTAGCTTTGGTCGTGTTTCAGCTTCTCAGGGCTTGGTCTTCGGGCATCAGGCATCTCTTTGCTGGCTGGTTGTTTGCGCACCCTTCAAGCAAGCAACCCCAGTGCCTCCATAGGGAGTGGTCCTAGGTCATTCCCACCAACCAGGAAGGGGAGTTGACCCTCTTCTGTGGCACATTATGGGCTGCTCCTTCATTTACATAGCAGCCAGGGTGGGCTTTGGGCTGTGATGGCAGAGTTGAGTCTTTGTGCCAGAAGATGGCCCCCAAAAGCAAAGCAAGAAAGTAGCTCCTCTCCTCTCTGGCACTTGCACAGAGTTTTGCTGACCTCTGGGCCAGACGAAAGGGCATCTTCCTTGAAAATTTTGCAAATCCTCTCTCCCCTCCCTGACTATTCCAAGCTACTACAGATTCTAAACGGGCACGGCCCTGCTGTCTCCGGAACAGACTGTACACATGATGCCTTGTCTTCTGCCCACAGCTGCCCCACTGTCGTGTGGCTCTCAGAAGCAAGCCCCGGAGCCTCCATAAATAAGTCCTCAGGCCCCAGCTGACTCGGACATCTCTCCCAGGGATGAAAGCAGGTTCTCAGAGCCCCGCCCAGGAGCTCACACTCAGCCCTCTGTGCCCAGGCCTCCCTGGAGGGCGAGGGCTTCCCTAGAGCTTCTTTTCCTGGTGCAGAGCCTCATGCTAGGGGGCAAACAGCTTGATTCACAGAACTGGAATCTACCCAGCAGTCTCCCAGGAGGCCAATGAGTAAGCTGTGCTACATCAATCCTATGGAACAGTACTCAGTGGTGAAAGCGAGCAAACCGTTGACACACAACACCTTAAATGCATCTCAAGGGAACTGCCAAGAGTTGAAAGCCAGTCTCTGGTGGGCTCTTGGCACAGCGGTTAAGCCACCAGCATCACATCTTGGAGTGCCTGGGCTTCAGTCCCAGTTCCACTCCTGGTTCTAGCTTCCTGCTAATACACAACCAGGAGGCAGCAGGTGACCGCTCAGGTACCTGGATCCCTGGTACCCACCTGGGAGAAGCTGGATGGAGTTCCTGGCTCCTCGGGGAGTGAATCAGTGGATGGCAGCTTGCTCGCTCGCTTTCTCTCTCTCCCTTCTCTGTGGATGCTGTCCATCTGCCTTTCAAATAAAATAACTTTTAAAATTAAAAAAATAAGTTTACTTGGTACAAACGTTGTTTTAAAATCCGCATACAGGGGACTGGTGCTGTGGCGTAGCAGGTAAAGCCGCTACCTGCAGTGCTGGCATCCCATACAGTGGCCGGTTTGAGTCCTGGCTGCTCCACTTCCAATCTGGCTCTCTGCTGTGGCCTGGGAAAGCAGTAGAAGATGGTCCAAGGGGCCGGTGCTGTGGCGCAGTGGGTTAACGGCCTGGCCTAATGCGCCGGCATCCCATATGGGTGGCGGTTCTAGTCCCGGCTGCTCCATTTCCGATCCAGCTCTCTGTTGTGGCCTGGGAAAGCAGCAGAAGATGGCCCAAGTCCTTGTGCCCCTGCACCCATGTGGGAGACCTGGAAGAAGCTCCTGGCTCCTGGCTTTGGATCAGCGCAGCTCCAGCCATTGCAGCCAATCGAAGAGTGAACCAGCGGATGGAAGACCTCTCTTTCTCTCTCTCTCTCTCCCCCTCCCTCCCTCCCTCTCCTCTCTGTGTGTAACTCTGACTTTCAAATAATAAATACATCTTTTCTTTTTTTGACAGGCAGAGTGGACAGTGAAAAAGAGACAGGGAGAAAGATCTTCCTTTACCGTTGGTTCACCCTCCAATGGCCGCTGTGGCCGGCGCATTGCGCTGATCTGAAGCCAGGAGCCAGGTGCTTCTCCTGGTCTCCCATGGGGTGCAGGGCCCAAGCACTTGGGCCATCCTCCACTGCACTCCTGGGCCACAGCAGAGAGCTGGCCTGGAAGAGGGGCTACCGGGACAGAATCCGGTGCACCGACCGGGACTAGAACCCGGTGTGCCAGCGCCGCAGGCGGAGGATTAGCCTATTGAGCCACGGCGCCGGCCTAATAATAATACATCTTTTAAAAAATCCACATAGTTTTTTCCATAATCTGCATTTCCCTTGAACTTCATAGGGGTGTGACTATAGGGGCTGGTGGCATCACCAGTGACAGAGTCGGACCCCCAAGTGCTTTAACCTCGGCCGCCTAAGGGAACAGAGGAAGGGGAGGACTGCGGACAGGTCGGGTGGAAACTCAGGTAAGTGAGCGGGTGGATATTTACGTTTCCTTGGAGAGGACCTGAGAAGCTGGGGAAGAAGGCCCGACCCCAGACACCGTGGCGGCCCAGGAGCAGCAGGGAAGAGGTGGGAACCCGGGGCGCTGGGAGGGGAACCTGGGCGGGCCAGGTGCCAGCAGCCTCCCGCCTGGAAGACGGGAGAGGGGTCGGGCCTCGCCAGCGACCTCCGGGAGACTGACGCCCAGCCTGGAGCAGAAGCCCGAGGTGAGGTGAGGGCGAGGGAGCGAGTTCGGAGGTGGGCGCAGGTGCAGCCGAGCCGGCGCGAATGCAGCCAGAGCCGAGCGCCGACCGAGGGAGGATGCTGGAGGGTTCACGTGTGCAAGAGGCCGGGTGCCCGTGGAAGGGACAGAGCCCGTGGGCGGGCAGAGCCCGTGGGCACAGAAGAGAGACCATCGAGCTCTGGAGAGCAGGAGTCGGGCCCCACCTGGAGGAGGCGGCTGAGCCCGGGGGTGCGTGTGGGAGCTGCGGGCAGGGAGGAAGGCGCTGGGCCCGGGAAGCCGGGCCGAGGGGGACTTCCGACGGCCCTCTGCCTCCTTCCCGAGACACGGGACCGTCCACTCCGTCCGCGCCCGGGTCGCCCCTCGGGTGACGTCCGGCCGCGGCCTCCGGGAAGCCGGCGTGGAGGACGGAGGGCAGAGGGTGGGCGCGGAAGGCCGGACCGAGCGGGGCGGAGCTGGGCGGAGGGCGCCGGCCTCCTCCCCCTCCTCTCAGGTGACAGAGCCCGCCGGCCCCCGCCCCGCCCCACCGCATATCCAGGAGGCCCGGCCCACCCCGTCCCCAGCCGCCAGCGCCGCAGCGCCCGAGTCTCCGCCGTCGGTGCGAGCCAGGACCCGAGCCCCCTCGGTGCACTGCCGCCCGCTATGGCCGCCGCGGCCGCCCCCCGCAGCCTCCTTGTTCTCCTGCAGGTGCTGGGTCTCGCCCTAGCTCAGATCGTAAGTCCCAGGGCCACTCCAGGCCGGGTTCAAGGGCGCGGGGTCTGGGGCCCGGGATTCAGGATGCGGAGTCTGCGAAGGGCTCTGCCCACGTCGCATCCTCCACGGCCGCCGCCTGGCCCGAGGGGGCACCGGGGACGGTCCGAGGGTGCAGAGACTGAGCGAGGCGCGGCGCGGTGACAGGCTATGAAGAAGCCGGGGAGCCAGAGGGACCCTGTCCGGAGATGCCCGACCCTGCCCGGGACAGGCGGCAGGGCCGGCCCCCGGCGCTGGCAGCCCCGAAGGCCCAGGTGGCAGCGAGGACAATGGTGCCCATTCACGGCGCTGCGTGCCTCCGCCCCCGCCGCTTCCCAGGGGGCGCCGGCTCCAGCCAGACGCCGCTGTGTCCCCGCGGCGGCCTCTCTGACAGCTACCAGCCGCGCGCGCCGTGCGTGCGAGAATCCGCGGGCTCTGCGGGCGCTCACTGGGTCCCGAGCGCAACCGCGGGCACCGTCCAGGCGCCGTCTGGTGCCAGGTGCGGTGCGCAATTCGCCTGCTGGGCGCCAGTGTGTGAACCACCGAGCCCCGGAGGGCGAGGGCGCCTGGCCTGCCCCGGACCCCGGACCCCAGACCCGCAAGGGGCCGCGGTGCTGGGGAAGGGGCCCTCGGCGTGGGAGGGGAGCAGCCTTTCCGCCCTCCCCCCAAGTGCGCTTCCTTTCCCCCTGGCATCCCCATTGCCCACCGGCTTTCACCCTCACCAGGGGGACGGGAAAGGGCACCCACACACCCTGGATACCCGTGGTTCCTCTAAAAATAACAACACTGATGGCATTCACC